CCCCAACAATCCGGGTCCTCATTTTACCCACCTCGGAAGGATGGAAGGCTGAGTCAACCTTGAGCCGGTGAGATTGGAACAGCCGAACTGCAGAACTGCAGTCAGCTGAAGTAGCCTGCAGTGCTGCACCCTAACCACTGCGCCACCTCTGCTCTAAGGCGGATCTGTGCACATTTTATGACAACAGAGTCGTCCTCAGACTTCACCCTTCTTGCCCAAGGTTAACACTCCTTTCCATAGGTCCCAGAAGGTGGTATTTCTGGACTTCTATCCGGCATCATCCAGGGAAAGGGAACAGTCCTGGGATCGCCTGGGCATGAGGAGGGCACTGCGTATCTAACTGAAATGCACATTACCATTCAGGAGGTTGGAGGTGCTCTTCAGTTCCTTCCAACACACTATCCTAGGGGTAAAGGTGCCATCAGTTATCATAGGCAGATGGATTCGGCTAGGGCATATGAGGCACGCAGGCTTCCAGTGTACTCCATCAGGAGTTTGGCCAAGTATGTGGCCGGATCTACCCAGGCGCCCATCAGGGATATCTGTAGGGCTGCCACCTGGGCTTCGCCTTCGCCTTTCATCAGGCATTACAGGCTGGACGCTTATGCTTCCGCTGAGGCCTCTTTCAGTAGGAGGGTGTTGCAGGGAGTGCTGGACACTCGGGGAGCTCAGGCCCAATGATTCTCTCCCATGGACATCTAGCTTTGGTATGTCCCATCAGTGACTCCTCCCACAGGTCACTTTGGAGAATGTCAATTGGTCTTACCTGAGCTGCATTTCTCAAAGGTCCTTTGAGTCACTTCCCACCCGTGTGGCTAGTGCATAGAGCCCTGAGCTTGGTTAGTGGTTTTGGTCAGTCAGGGACTGGTGGGTTTGGTGTTTTCTTTCCTATCCCCTTCCTTCCCCGGTCCTGATTTTGGACGTTGACCTTCGATTAATCTGGAGAGCCAGGAAGAGGAAGTAGAGAGGAATGAGTCTCTGGCCAGGTTGGGCGTGAGAATACCCATCAGTGATTCATCCCGCAGGACCTTTGAGAAATGCAGTTCAGGTAAGACCAACTGACATTTTTAACCTTATATTAAGGTCTGGTAAACCTGGACACGTACAACATTCTGTTCTAAACTGATGTTTTAAAATTTAAAATGAAAGGGGGATATGAGAAACAGGAAAGAACTAAAACTTCAAACGTGATATGAGTATAAAAATGTTCTTTATCTAACATCACATGTCAAAATTACATTCCTAGCTCTGCTTCTAATGAAATGGCTTCCCCTTCTTTTCACAGTGTTACTTTAGCAATATATTATCACATAAAGAACAGGTGAGCATTTCTAAAATTTCTTTCTTGAAATTGCATGTAATGATCATGTTGTTTGCAATTCCTTCTAAAGATGCAGTCTGTAATTTTGCTGCTTGCTCTTAAAATATAAAGAACTATGACTAATATGTTAGCCTGTTTTGTTAAATTGGAAAAGATTTTCCTTTCGTTTTTTCCCATTTTAAAAAATTATTTTTAACTGTAAGGATTGTTTATAGTAGCTTTGTTATTGTACTGTAGTGTATATTGGCATTTTGTATACGTGTGTGTGTGTGTGTGTGNATCAGCCATTTGGCTGGATTTTTTGTCACCGGCTTGAAGAACTTCTCTTGGATCAATCAGGGACTTTGCGATGTCCCTGTGATCAGCAAAATGTAGTCTTCCTGTTCACCATCTCTACGGGACGGTTTAGGTCCGTTTGGACCACACAGAGACAAAAGTGTCGACTGCAATCTCAGAGTGTTGAGATCGCATGTCGTGTCATCGCTACTTCGGCTCCTCCCCTTGAGGAGCAGTGGATGTTGATGGCCCTGCATTGCAGATGGCTGGCGGGCCTCATCTATGCCTTTCCCCCTCTCCCCCTCCTTCCTGAGGTTCTGAGGAAGTTAGTGATAGAGAGGGCGGAGGTGATTCTGGTAGCATCCTATTGGCTCCGGAGACCCTGGTTCGCAGACCTGGTGGGGCTATCAGTGTTTCCCCACTGGAGGATTCCACAGGGGGAGGTGGCTCTGCACCAGGGAACCTGGTCCTTCCGGAGCCAGAGTGGCTTCAGTTGACCACTTGGTGCTTGAGCAGGAGCAACTGAGAGCAGCCCATTTTTCGGCCAGAGTGGTCAAGACCATTGAGGCTTCCAGGAGGCTTCCAGGGGGCAATCTACCACATGGATTTATGATGCGACCTGGGTCTCCTTTGTGTCCTGGTGTCGGTCCGCACAGGTGTATTCGGTGTCAGCTTCGGCAACACAGGTGCTAGAGTTCTTCCAGGATGGCCTGGCGAAAGGTCTAGCCCACAATACCCTCAGGAGACAGGTTTCGGTCCTGGCCACAGTCCAGGACTCTCGATCCCTAGCACATCACCCAGTCATTAAGAGGTTTCTTAGAGGGGCAGCTAATCTCAGGCCCCCTGTGGTACACTGGTTCCCTACATGGGACCTTCCCATGGTACTTCAGGCACTGATGGAGGCTCCTTTCGAGCCTTTGAGGACAGTGAATACAGTGTATCTTCAGTTCCTAATCCTTAAGGTTGTGTTTCTGGTGGCAATTACTTCCGCCAGACGTATTTCCGAACTCAATGCGCTGTCATCCAAGGCAATAGCAATAGCAGTTAGACTTATATACCGCTTCATAGGGCTTTCAGCCCTCTCTAAGCGGTTTACAGAGTCAGCATATCGCCCCCAACANATATATGTTATATATTATATGTTGTATGTTGTATATTATATATTATATATACATAGCATAGCGTAACGTAACATAAAACATAATATAACATAATATAAATATATGTATTTATACCAAAATGCCCAAGAGACTGAGGAAATCCTCAAAAATGTCATTCTGTGACATTCTTACTCAGTTTAGGTAAATTAACACACACACACAAACACATAGATGAATGGTTGAAACAACAAAAGCAGCTTTTCATAGGTTGTCATTTGACCTTAACTTGATATGGCCATTTCAATAGCAGATTCTCCCCCCCTCCCCATCTAGATCAATATTTCTCAAACTTGGCAACTTTAAGATGCATGGACTTCAGCTCCCAGAATTCCCCTGGCAGAGTTGCAATCCACACGTTTGCCAAGTATGAGAAACCCCGGTCTAGACTATTTCCCTGCAAATATCTGAACCGTGAAGAGGCTGAAGTAATGAGCTTAGCAACCCCCCCGTTCATTTGAAGCAGAGCGAAGGATTATCACCCACTGAGCCACATCGTAATTCATGGTTTATAAACTTACAATGAAAGGATTCACAGAAGATGCGAGGCCAGAAAAAAATCAAATAAAGCAGCAGGGTGGCTTAGCGTGAGGTCTGAACATACCTATTTCCTGCCAATGGGTTTAACTGCCACCCTGCGATAAATCCTTACGAATTACGGTACATTCAGTCTGTGTTGAGCTTGTAGTCAAACGGGCAACCGTGGAACTGAAATCACCGCAGACGGACCGTTGAATCCAAATTCATTTTTTTTAAAAAGAGTCCAGTTCACAGCTGCCCAAATTTTCCATCCGCAGAACTGATTTTTAATTTAAAAACAAGGGCGTGAAGAAGAAAAAGAGAACGAGAACTTACCAACTGTGATGCTTCCTGTTTTGGTCTCCAAGGTAATATCACCTGTAACGAAATTGGAAGAGCGGTGGGTATTTTAAAATATGTCACTTCACACAGCGCAATCCACCGTAGGTGCACAAGCAAGAAGCCAGAGGGGATTGAAACCAGCTATGAATTGAATCAGAGGTTCTTATTCGTAGTATTATCAGGCGCAAAGGAATCAGGATTGAAGGTGAAGTTGCGGTTTCAGAATAGTTATTACTCAAGCTTATACACAAGAATCTATAGTCAACTATCCGGGTTCCAAATAGCACCCAAAAGTAAATCAGAGTCCAAGGCAAAGNTATAACCTATTAAATGAAATAATAAATGTATAAGAATGATAAATGTTAAAACACTTGTAACCAAACGGAAAAAAATAATAATAATAAAAGCGGAGCAAATTGCCAACTGGTGGGAGGATTATGGGTTATGGCAACATTCCTGCCGTGCATGGAAGGGGGGGCAAGGGGGGGCTCTTCCACTCTTTGGTCCCACATTCTCCTCCCTTCTTTCCAGGACTATAACATCGACGAGGAAGCAGCCTTGCAGGCAGCCCTGGCGCTCTCCCTCTCGGAGAACTGAGGGCCGCTGACACCGCCGAGCAGCAGACAGGAACTGTTGCCCATTTGCCTGACTCTCTCCCCCCTCCCGTCAGAGCGATGCGCCGCTCGTCCTGCCCGTCGGCTCCCAGAGAAGGGGGGGGGGGCTGTGGCCGTCTCCTCCGCTTTCGTCTTGCCTCGTTTCGGTCAGGGAGCCTCTTCCTCGGGGGCCGGGGCAGCGGAAAGGGGTGCTTCTCATTTCCCGGTTCCAGCGGACCTGCTCTGTACTACCAGTCGGACGTTCCCCCATGCCACTCAGTGCAGATGGTATACTTTATTAAGACGCTTTTAATACGGTTTTAGCACCATCGGCCCTCATTCCGTTAGCGGTTTATATAGCAACAAAACATTTTGTGGGGGAAATGTAGTTTACATTTTTTTTTTTTAATTGCCTGTGTCTTTGGGTTCATTCACTGGATTTTTTTGTTTTTAATTTGGGGGGGGATCAGCATGGGAGACTTAAACCTTGTACGAATATTTATTATGCGCTTGAGTGCCTGCTCCTTGGCCATCGCGGCGAGGGATTCTGGGATCAACGCGTGCATGGAAAGCAGCCTTCCAAAGAGGTTTGTGATTCCCAAGCGAGACCAGGCGGCCATTCCTGACTTGAGCATAATTGTTTAGCCAAATCTCTCCCTCCTGTGCCCCCCCCCCCCCACAACTGACCTTGCTCATTTTGTATCTGCTTTTGTGATACTCTTAGAAGTCCTTGGTGGTTTTTTTCTACATCTCTCCGTGTAACAGCAAATACTCTTCACGTTTTATAGAGAGAATACAAAGCAGTTAACCCTTGATATTGCAATATCTGTGTTTGATTAGAAAACAATAGTATTTTTACGGAACATTATTTTTCAAAGTATATTTTTTAAAAGAAAAGCGCCCCGGGGTCTCCAGATCTTCGGGCCCTGAGGGAGGGAGGGTCTCGAACCTGGAGGGAAGGAGGCGCTTCCTTTGGTTAAGTTCTGAGCAATGGGTCGGTGATCTGTTTTAAGGGTTTGAGGATTATTTGTTCTCTGCAAGAAAAGGAGGGGGGAAGACAACTTTGGGGGGGGGGGTTCTTCAAGTCGCCTTTTAAGGGATGGTTGCAAGTTGTTATTAAGCAGAACTGCCAAGGCTTCATTATCCAGGTGTTCGGATTCTGGGTCAATGGGCCTGAAGGAGACTGGAAAGAAATAAAAGCTGTGGAATAAGCTCCAACAGGGGTGTGTCTCTCTGCGTCTTCAGAGCAGCCTTAACGTTCGTTCAGCCGGGAATCCATCCACCAACGTTTTCTGTGTGTTCGACAAACCGATACTGCAGTTGATTCAGTGAAGCATGCAAATCGTGGCTTCCTATACAAGCCAAGCGCCCAGTTGAAAGTGCTCATTGGGCTTGTGGAAACCTTGGCACGACAAAACCGCGCGCCCAATTAAACCGCGTCGCTGACGTCATCAACAGGGCGACAACGGCCAGCGCGGAGAAAGAAGGGCTCTTTAAATAGCGCTTTAAAAGCAAGCCGATTCAAGTTAAGGTAAGGGTTAGGGTTAGGTTAAGGGTTAGGATTAGGTTTAGCGTTAGGTTAAGGTTTAGGGTTGGTTAAGGGTTAGGATTAGGTTTAGGGTTAGGTTAAGGTTTAGGGTTGGTTAAGGGTTAGGATTAGGTTTAGGGGGGGTTAGGTTTAGGG